GACAATGGAGCTATTGTTGGAGGTTCATGTTCTTGCTGCTGCTTGACGCTCCTAACACGTAAACAACTTTGATTCCCCCAGACAGATGCAGAAAATATTGCATGCTCAATGTACTCCATGTTCTCCATAGTTTCAGCCTATTCCCTTAGCAGGTCTTCCAAGGGCTGCTACCATGTACTGACAGCTCATGTCAAGGACAGACAAGACCTTAACAGATTATTTTCTTGAAAATACCTGATAAAATACTCCAGAAGATCTTTGCTGACATTTGAGCCCTGAGAGATGAGCTTGCTGGTAGCACTGGACAGGCTATGCAGGACCCTGACTGGGAGACAGGATGGGCAGGGATGTTTTTCTCCACTCACATTAGCCTAATTTAAGTGTAGCTGAAAATACAATTTTCACCTGAGTTCAGCTTTGCATGTCTTCAGCTACTGTTAATAGCTAGATGTAGCACAGTGGTGCTGCCTATGTCTTCATAAACACAGAAAAACTTTTTTCCATTGTGGTAAAGCCAGTTGGTAAGTTTGTTCTGCCATCCACTGAGGGCACCAGGGCCCTGCAGGGCAGAGCAGGGGCATGCAGGCCTTAAAGATAAAAACAGGAAATCATAGTGTCACAGGACACAACAACCATCTGCTGAGTTACAGACCCTCGTTTTCTGGTACCCTTGCTGTGTGCGGTAGGAAGGAAAGCCTCTGCCCTTCACATACATCCCACTTCTCTTTTCCCTTTCCTGTGCTTATCTCCCCAGTCATCTGTAAAATATGTGAGCTGATATACACAATTTTCAATCAAATAATTATTTTTCACATATTAAAAAACCCTCAACAATACATGGAATACATGGAATGCCCTGTCTGGATTTCCCACAGTGTCTCTGCTCTGACCTATTAATCTGAAAGTCATTTGACTACCTACATAGTTTGAAGATTTGAAGAAAGCTGTTTGCATTAAACATTAAATGGACAAGTAAGTGCAGTCTGAAGTTTTGCTTTAGCTAGTGCCATCAGTACTCCATAACATTTCATTTGATGCTTTTGAAAGCTGTGAAGATTGACTACTTCTCTAGTAAAATTCTGATGATTGTGATTCAAGTTATTAAGGGCTTTTACTGTTCATAAACTGAATCTCTTGTTCCATGTAAGTAAACTAGTATTTGAAGATTTCTTTTTCTGAAAGAAGTAAAACTACAAAATTTTTTTTAAAAAAAATCTCCCCTTTTCCCAACTGAGCTGTCTTGTTTGGAAGCCATGTGGGTGGCAATCCTCCCTCTAAATCTAAATGTGGATTTAGAGGAATGGAGTGTGGTCTGGTCTCTGGAGGACCGGTTTAGTTCATCTGCTTTTGTGTGCGCTGAGAAGCCAGCAGTGCAGGTAAGTGTGTAATTATGGGCTTATTTAAAACGGAGATTCTTTTACATGACAGACTGCAGCATGTGCAGGAAGAATAATGCCCGCAGAAAACAGAACACCTCCGTGAGGGCTCTTGTACCCTATTGTGCTGTAGCCTATTTACAGGCTTTGGCTCAGAGATGATTCGTGGTTTGCCTTACACGGGCACAGGTTTGCACGGCCTCCTCCCTCCAGCTGATTGCAGTGGGGACTCGCCTGCTGCCGGGGAGGCACCTGGAAATGCTGAGCAGCAAGAGTTGCACTGGTATCGAGCCTGCTCAAACCACAGGATAAACAGAGGATTACAGCAAACACCAGGACCACAAATCCCTTACAGCTTCTTCAGGGCCTCTCCGGTTACTATTGCTGCCAAATACCAGGTAGCAGTTATTCTGCCGTGTTTCACGGCCGTCCTTGATCTAACGCGCTGTTATACACGTTACCAAAAATGGTTTAAAATGACTGCTCTATTTCCTTCTGGCCTGTCTTCAAACAGTATTGTGATTGCAAAGGGCAAGACAGCCAACTTTTTTGTAAAATTCTGTTGAACCGCTGCTACCCGGGGAGCAGAGGCGTCCGTCCTAACGCGGATCCGCGGGGCCCCGGTGCGTGCGCCTCCGTTCCCCGCGGGGCGGCTGCTCCGGCACACAGCCCTGGTACCGCGCTGCTCGGCGGGCAGTGCCGGGGGCTGCCAGGACACAGACCCTTCGCTTTATTTCGTGGAGAAGCCAAACTGCCCTTCAAAACTGGCAAGTTTAGGGGGTTTATTTCAGAGTGAAGCTATGTTTGGCATATAAAATTATTTAAAGCAAAAAAGGCAGAGCTAGAAGCCACGGAGGCTTCCCAGCTAGCTCCGGCTAGGCACGAGTGGGCGCGGCCTTCGCCCCCCTCTCTGCACCCCAGTCCCGCCGCGTTCCGCCCGGGAGCTTTTCGCGCCACAG